CACACATTGTTAATATAAATAGAAAATAAAATTGGTCCAAGGACCAAGCCTTGCGGCACCCCTTTTAACATTTCTAAAAAAGACGAGGAAGAACCTCCCAATTGGACAGCTTGCCTCCTATTTGAAAGATAATTCCTAAACCAAGGGATCGCTCCTTCTGACAAGCCAATCCTTAACAACGAGTTAATCAGTAATACATGATCAACAGTATCAAAAGCCTTAGAGAGGTCAATAAATAAAGCTACACAATGTTTTTTACAATCCAATGCCTGTAACACATCATTTAAAAATTTTAATGTGGCAGTAACAGTACTGTGCTGTTTTCTAAAACCAGATTGAAATGGGGACAATATGTGATTTGATTCTAAAAACCCCTTAAGTTGGTCACTCACTATTTGTTCTAGGATTTTCGCTAAAACACACAGTTTAGAAATTGGCCTATAATTATTAACTTCCGACGGATCACCTTCCTTTAAAAGGGGAAGAACAAAAGCAACAACATATACAGCAACTTTGAATCACAACAGTTTAGTTTCGATTTAGGTTCGACAGCAGCAACTTGACGTCAGACCTTAGATGAGAAGTTCGACGCTACACTGAGCATGTGCTGGCTCGTTTGACAAGCTGTGGTCGTATGAGCTGGAACTATTTTTGGCCAGGAGCAGCTGTTTCTCCCTGCTTCCAGTTTATTTATAAGCTAATCAAACAGTCTCCTGTTTATAGTTTCCAATTTAACGGACAGACCTATGGCTCATGGCATCTAGCTCTCAGTAAGGAAGTGAATAAGCATATTTTGCAAACTACTGATCTGTTCCTTTAAGGCAAACCTTCACTGACTCCCAAAGCAAACAGAGACTTACGGCAGTCTGTTTCATCTGAGTTATCCTCACAGTCGTTGTCTCCATCACAGCGCCAAAGCTTGAGAGCACAGCGACCATTTTTACATTTGAACTCATTGGGCTCACAGGGAGACGGTGTACCTGTGAGAAGACAGAGGATACTCGAAGTGTACATTGTTGTCTGAGAGCATGCACATGCTTCAAGGCCGTAGTAATTACCACATCTGAACTCATCGCTTCCGTCCGAGCAGTCCTTCTCTCCATCACAGATATAGTCTCGAGAGATACACTCTCCACTCTGGCATGTGGCTTGATCTGCTCTGCAGGGTCCAGGTGGGCCGGGGGGCCGTGGGGTCTTCTTGGTGGTGGTGGTGGGTGTGATGGGAGGGGGGGTGAAGACTGGAGGGAATGGAGGTTTTACACCTTAAACTATTATCTTATTAAATTCACCAAATACACAAAGTACTTGGGCTGTTACCATATTGTAAGTGAACATATCACACACCATCCAGTCAGTATTCTGTGCTAAAGCTGCCCATGTTACAATCTGCCGGCAACTCAAACTGAAGCCACTCACCACAACTGGTCTCATCACTCATGTCTGTGCAGTCCGGTCTGTTGTCACACAGGTATTCCAACAGGATACATGTCCCATCACCACATCTGTGCTCATCTGGCATGCAGGGTCTGATTTGGGGGGCTACTAAGAAATGCAGAAGAGGGAGGGGTGGGTGTGATCAAAGACATGCAAGTCGAGTCTGCAACACAGCCAATACACTGCACTAATGTCATATCACAACACAAATAAAGCATAATGTTATGAAAAACATCCTAGGCTCCTGAGCTGCACAGCAAGTCTTGTTGTAATGATATAATTAGAGCAGCAAACTGAGAGATGATTGTCAATGATACAATTGTCAGTTCAAAATAGACTAGATCGGACAAATTGGGGTAGACAGATTAGAGAGAGTAGAATAGACTAATACACAGATCAAACTAGACAGACTAGATCAACTAGACTAGACACACAGTCTAGACTAGATGACTGACACACTAAAGACTAAAGATACAGTAAGCGATTAGACAGATACACAGACTAAAGAATACATGCAGTAAATTAAACATATTACAAAGGACACGTCCATAAATTGACTAAAACATTATTCACGCACAAGATCAAGGATCAGGATCAAGATGAAACTAGGCTGACTAGGCTAGACATACAAAACAAGACAGAGCGAGTAAACTAGAATAGACTTACAGACTAGACGGACAGATTAGATACTGTAGACTCATAAGACAAGATAGGCAGACTAGACAAGACACTCAGGACTACAGCTTCACAGATTAGACTAGACAGACTAAAAACACAGACGAGGCAGAGTCAACTAGACAGACTACACAGGTCAGACCACGGAGTAGACAAGACCCAAAGAACAGACAGGCAGACTCAGCAGACACACAGACTAGATGTTTACAGTAGACTTGGTGGAAAGACAAGACTAGACAAGTCACACAAGCCCACAAGACTATTCAGATGCACAGATTAGGCCAGAGAGGACTGGATAAACACACAAGACTAGGCGAGGCCACTAACTACACATTAAACACATTAAGGATAAAGTACTGGTCTGTCAGTTGCCATGCCAGAGTATACTGTATGTATGCTGTAATTTGTGTACATCAAACGTTGGCTTGTATTGCAGTGAACAGCAGCATTCCTAATCAAACCCATGCCATGCAAAGGTCCTTTTTACACTAGGGGACTGGACTTTAGAGAACATACTCACAAGTCTACTTAATATCGATGCCTCCATGCAAAACATTCCTCAGACTACATGACCATAACTTATACACAACAAAGAAAGTCACTGTAAAATTTCAAATTCATAGGGGAGGAAATGCTCGACTGTTCTTTTAAAGGCACTACAGTCATCCTACAGTTTCTACAGTCGGCTCAGTTACCATGCAGCAGGCCTGGCACAGTACAAACCTGGCACTGCTATAGGCTCCACTGGAGGCAGATGCTGAGCTAGAAACCAGAAGGAAATGTTAAAGACACTGCCTACGAATCTGGTGGACCTTCTTTTGCTGTAGACATACAGCAAACAGAGTCAAGTCACTTCATGGCTGTGTTAAGTGGTGCTCTTCTCTCTGCGGAGGTCTTACCTTCCCCAAGACGTCTGAACTGAAAGCCCTGGACTGAGGTGACATAGGAAGCAATGGTTCCCTCCTTCACCACATTGTACAGCACGCTGCGGATCTCTTCATCATTGCTGTTATATTCAGAACCCACGTCCAACTCCACAAACACATCCACCGCATTCTCCCTTACCATCCTCCTGCAAAGAGTAAGAAAGGCCTAGTGAGGCTACAGACTGTGTGGCATGCACTGCAGATGGTTAAACAGGAGAACTTTTCAGAGGTAAGGTTTCTCTTAGATGTCCCTTAGGGCCATGACACACCAAGGCTACGGTCGGCCGTCGACCCCTGTCGGGCCGTCAGCGAGTGTCTGTCATGGCTCATCTTCTCAGTGTGCCCCACACCATTGGCACTAGTTGGACCCTGTTAGTGGAGACCACTCTGACCGGCTGTTCATCTTAGATAATCTATGCATGAGAAGAGAACAGTTTGGGAAAGACCCTTCAGACTGTCCTGTAGTATCCATGATTTCACACATTAAGGGCAGGTTCTCCTTGTTTTTTGCCTCCACAGCCCCCTTTCGTCTTCTGCTACCAAAAGACAAAGTGTGGAGAACGGCGGTGTCATTTGCAACTTCTTGTCAAACATATTCTCGATTAGAAGCTATAAACTATAAACTGCAGCTGTGTTGAACAAGAGCTGCTTTGTTTACAGCTTGTATTTCTGCTGTCTAGCTCCTCTTCTTTCCCTTTCTGAATGACGAATACAGATACCGCCACCTGCTGGTAGGGGGAGTTATTTCTGTCACTCAGGTGCAGAACATACGTGCTAGTTGGCCGTTGGCTGACGTCTGTGAGGTGCGTTCAAGTGCTACTCTTTCTATCCGAGACAGGCGACATGGGGCAACACAAGAGGGGGCCTACATCGCTGCTGGTTCTTTCACGTCGGCTTGGTGTGTCTCTACCCTTAGAGGAATTGTTCATTGTTGATGAATTTGTGACAACATAGGCTTACACTGTTGGCCGTGTGCAGTTTGGAAAAAGGGAAATAAATATCACCTGGGCAGAGTAAGACACCCAGGTGCAGGGTATCTACTTTGGGTGTCACAAAGCATGATTCAGATGACTGTGGTTCTTACTTAATGAGGACCACGCTGACAGTCTGGACACCTGAAATCCTGTTGTATTCTGACTCCAGCTGTGCAGAGAAAATCAGATTCGGTTTTGTTGAAGTAAACAAGACTGGTTTTTATTTTCAGACATAAGGTTACACATACTTAAATCAAGATAACCATAAATCACATGCCTGAACTTTGTATGGCAGCCTTCACCTACTATTCAGTAGAGTTCATCCTACAAGAAAAAGGACATACCGTGTCCACCACTGCTTCAGAGATCTCACTAAAGGCTGGAGAGAAGATGTCGTCGAGCTCAGGGCCGTAGACCAGGGAGTCAGTGAAGTTGACAAGAGCTCTGTAATAAACTAGAAACACAAAGAATCTGTCAGTTACTGTAAACCACACAATAACAAACCATGACCACAGGCCCAGCATTGATCTCCATCTACTGTAGAGTTATTGTGATACAGGATGCTGTTTGGGAACAATTTCCCTTTAGTTAAATGCTTCAGAAAGTAACAACCAAAAAGCTTAAATGAGAGCCACATACAAATCATGGCATCTATTTCCATATATCAGTTATTGTTGGGTCTCTGGTAAAATTGACAACTGCAGCGTTTCACCACACATAGGTCCTAACAAGAGACACACACTCACAGACACATTATGGCCATGAAATTACAGTGTCAAGGCACAATGTCTCCCTGTATGTCTGTCTGTGAGTCATGGAAATGGAGACACATACTCAAGTACTGCCAGACAGAAGCTGATACAGCCTCTTTGTTGCAAAGATAGAACTGATTACACTGTCTGAGACCTAATCAATGTAAACATTCAAATACACATTAAGTGGGTATGAGTCGAAACAGCAGGTCCACAGGTTTGCACCAGACTTCCTGACTGAATGGTGATGATATCAGACAGCTGGAAGTTAGGTGAATCAGCATCACAACTATGCCAACAGCTGCAGAGGAAGAAGAAGAAACTCCTCTGTGGCCGACTCTGAAAGGGGGCCTCAATACATGTACCAAGTCAAACACATCAGGCAGGCAGGAGGGCAGTGGTGAGGGCTGCAGCAGGGATTATATCTGTAGGCTACAGAGAGATATACTAGCTGGTCATTACACATATAGGCCATACTGTAAAACATATTCACACATGAATCTTACAGAAACTGCATTTAGTAATTTAGTAATCAGTAATCCCATCAAGAAAATCCTAGTTTTTTACACATCAAGTGATTTGATTTCCAAACCTTGCAAACAGCTGATGGGTTTTACATTTACAGTTATCCACTGTATCTGCCAGTGTCCCACTGAACCCAGAAAGCTGCTACACTGCTCATCCCGCCTTCTAATCACCCCGAAGAAATGCAGCAAAGGAACAAAAGTGCATTTACATTTTGCACAGTGCAAAATGGAGCACAATTCTTTTCTTTTTCTCTTCTCTTCTGGCACCCATATTGTGCAATATACAGAAAAACTCCACTCATCTGCTATCTGAGGGACAGACCATAAAGGTCTTTTTATGTAATGTAGCATAATGTCATGCTGATTTATTTAAATGCACTTGCAAGCAAGCAGCCACAAACTCCACTGTGCCTTTTACAGTACCGCCATTCATAATAAATGAATGGACTGTTGACATATTAGCAGTGCTACTAACACTTTTCACTCCCGCATCACACCATGTTAAAGGATCGGCCTTTTCCAAAGTTGCATTGACATTTGAGCTGATTTTCCATCCTGATCTTCCACAAAACTGGGCCAAAGAATGACTAATTCAGCTGATTATATTTTCCATGCCTGATATAGACAGACTGCGAACACTGTCCATTGTCACGTTCTATATATAAGCAACTGGGAAAAAAAATATGATGAGCTATATGAGTATTATCACCAAAAATGTCAGCTCTCTTATTATAATTCCTGTGTCAGAGGCTTAGCCCATGAAACCTAAAATAACCCAGGCCTGCGGGGTGCCCTGTTCTCACACTGCTGCCAACACGTTGTTAGGACCGGCCTGCCAGCCTCCAATTTCAGATTGCCAGTGTGGGTTTAGGGAGGAAGTCAATAATTGCACTGTTTCTTGTAGGGAGATGCTACTTGTCATGCCAAAAGCAGAGAGTCATATTCTAAGAAGGCATCTGCTGACCCTCTGGCTACAAACATACATGCCCAAAAATGTGCACACACATGCACGGTCGCAGACACTATACAAACACTCTTGGTGTCCTTTCTACTGTTTCCCTGCTCCTTAGATCATTACATACTGCTAAACATATGGACACTGACAGCAGATATTTATCATGCTCACCAGGGGCTTTTAAATTAAAAGCTAAAGATTTTGTGTCTTACACTCAGATGTGTGTTGGCTATGTTAAAGAGTTGTGGGAAACCCTGTCACATTATCCACCAGCTGTTTTCTCTTAACACTGCTCAATCCCCTTTTCTTCCACATGGCAATGATACTACAAGACATCCCATTCCTGGTGAGGAAAAGCCTCATTTATGACAAAGTAAACCTAGTGCTGCCTATGAAAACACACAGCAAAGTGAACGTGCAATAACAGAACTGTAAGCATTAGCACAGCCTGGCAGGGTGCCTGAGTGCCTGCATCGCAGGCTGCTGCTGTCAGAATTAAAGGAATAATTATTATGTCTGAATCTGGAGCCAAAAGACAGGCAACAAAGTTACTCATTTGGCCTGCATATAATCTAATCACTTGAGATTGTACTGGCCAACAGGACAACAGCAGCTCAAAGCCATAACTGTCTCTGAACTTGCCGCTTTGACATTACCAGCTGATGAGCGTGGGACTGCCGCTGCCTGAGACCCTTTGATTATAGAGCCGGGTTGTGCCCCGTTGCTAATGAGTGGCTCTTTATCCCATTCTGCTGTATATCCCTTACTGCATCCAGCGGGGTGCAACCCCCCTCATCGAGCACTGCTACCATCAGGGGTGATGAAACTCTCAGAGTGCAGAGATGATGGGTGGGATAGAAAAAAGGAGTTCAAGAAAAATAGCATTCCACACTATTAATTCACAATAAAGCTAATAAAGCTGTTCAGGAGAACTGTGGAAGCTTTGTGTAATGCACCGCCTCTGAACACAGAGACCTATGCAGAAGACAAAGCCTTGATTGAGCAGCGAGCTCAGCCTGGCCTTTAAGGCCTAACCGCACTGGGCTTGATCTTCAACCCACAAGGCAGCGCCTATGGCATCAGTCAAGCCAATAACACAGGGAGTAAAGAAGAGCCAGAATCTAGAAGAACAAGGCCCAAAGCCCAGCGTGACAATGACCCTGTCAAAAATTTTCAATAATATATTTGTCCCTATTCTCTCGCTCATCTCCAGCTCATCCTTAATCTTTGTCTTTCTCTCTCTTTCTCAGCATAATATATTCATATCATTCCTCTGCCTGCTACTTAACCCATGTGCTGGGGCTTGGCCAAACAACTGTTTGGCCCAGAATTGCCCTCTGGGGAACCCTTGAGAATAACTTGGTTTCACTATTAAACTAGCCCGCTGGTGCTCTCACAAAGCTTGCAATACATGCATCAAAAACCACCACTGTTTATAATAAAGCCCATTTTTCTACTCATTTTGCAGTGGTTCTGTGAAGCAGCTGGTTGGGATCTCTGGGATGAGCCATCTGCACGAGGTTAAAACTACAAAAACACCTCTCAAATTAAATTGCGGCAAAACATTTTGCAAGTGTTGGCTGTCCACAGAGATAAGTAGTTATGTAATTCCAACATATTTTTACAAAGATATTTTCAGCTGGAAACACAAGTGTTTCCAATCCAGTGAGATGAACTTTATTCCTCAATGGAACAAGTCCTTCATTTTCTACTGGCATCAGAAAACACTGGGAGATGCCTGCAAGACGTCCTGAACTCAAACACTACATGCTCAAGCTGCGTCTTCCTTGGAATGTTATCTGAGAGTGCGTTTGGAAATAGGAATGTCTAACTGAGCAGAGCAGGTGACAGGAGAGCGTGCCAAAGACATGTCAGGAGGAGGAAACCACAGCATTAAAAACGGAGAAGTGCTTAGAGACTTACTGTAATTTAGGTCGGCTGGGCTTTGTATGTTCCCCATATATGAAGAGTCCAACCAGTGTGCTGTGGCAAGCAATGCGGAGCAAGGAGCGAGAGACAGGGGGAAGAGATGTGGCGCAAAGGTCGACGGGGCACAAACAGGAGCCAGAAGTCAAGGATCAAACAAGAAAAGCGACACAAAGACCAGGGAAAAGGATCAAGTTAGCCAGGCAGGAGCAGAGAGGTTTAAGTTTCAGGACAGTTAGAAAGGAGATGATTGGAAGCGAGGAGAGAAAATAGAAGGTGACAGTCAGAAAGAGTTGTCATAACAGAAACAGGAAATCAGAAAGTCACTGAAGATTATATGAAAAAAAAAACAACAAAACAGTGAAGACATCAGCATGAAGTTAAAATAAAGCTGTCATCACACTTTTTTGAGAAGAAATGTCAGCATCATTTTAGAGTTTCCAGCAGCCCCACTCATTACCACCCACATGCTGGGACAACGGGCGCTGGGAGCCTGTGGTTTTTGTGTCTTGATGAGTTTTACCAGTGACTGTCTGGAAACACACTAGAAAATCTGCTTGCATGACACCATCAAGGAGTCAAGGTTAAAGGGAATACCTTTATAAATGACTCAGCTTCAGTTACAGAACAAAGAGGATCCAAACACACCCTTCCACACACTGCTCATCACACCAGCTGCTGTCCCACACATACATATCTACCCTGGGGCTTTGCAGCGATGAGGGAGGAGCTGCTTCCTGTTTTCTCTCCTAAATGGAAAGAACCGAGCACATTATGATTTTTTTAACCACAAGTTAAGCTCCTCTGCACCAGCACTGGCAACAATGACCACCTTCTGTTTTGTGGTGACTCATCTACTCTTTCACTCTACACCATGGGGTCTGCTCTGAGATGTCAGCTGAGGAGGCCTCTGGGTCACTGAATCATGGCTGGGTTTTAAGAAAGGGACTGTTGTACAATGTTTATAGCAGAAGTTTTCTGAGTATCTGTTCATAAGAGGCAACTCTGTTGTCTTCTAAATAAGGTGTGTGTTTATGTATAAAGCCAGGAACGACTTATTACCTGGTGGAATCCAAAAGTTATTTGATGAAAGGGAAGGGGGATATAACTTAAGGGGTCACTTAAATCTAAAAGTTCATGCTATACGTACAACCAAAAAAAGATTTTGTATTTCTATAAGTGGGGTCAAATTATGGAATAATTTAAGTGTGAACATGAAAAACAGTACTAGAATTGAGGAGTTTAAATATAAATATAAATGTATGTGTCATTCAAGATATATGCAAGAATAAGA